GGGTAGGAAGTGTCTCCGGCGGCGTGTCTGGGGTTGGTCTCCGAGTGTGTGCGTGTGTGTGCGTGTGTGTGTGTGTGTGTGTGTGTATGTGTGCGTGCGTGTGTGTGTGTGTGTGTGTGTGTTTTCTTAAGCCGGGCTATTCAAACCTGCTGCAATTCTCCGGTAAACAATGATTCATGGGGCTTAATGCAAATAAACGGATTGCAAACGGCGCGGTTCGCGCACTTTGCAGCCGGCCCGGTGGAGCGGCCAGTGCCGGATTTCTCCCTTTTTTTGCAGATCTGCAGAATATGGCGTCCCTGTCCTGTTTTAAAAATAAGCCAGGCTGCCATTTTTGTTTTTCTTTTGTCTGAAAATTTTAATAAAACTGTCTGAGAATGTGGGAGAGGCGGCTGGAAGCAGAGGGGGCACCCGAAGGGTTGGCTTTTTTCCTTTTCTTTGGCGAGAGCCGCGAGCCTTTCGGGGAGGTGAGACACAATGCAATTGCACTTTAAAGAAAAAAAAATTAGGGAAGCTGCCGGGCGATTTCGGGGGGAGGGCTGGGAATTTTAAAGTTAACTCCGAAAGTTTTCTTTTCTTTTTTAAGCTTTTTTTTTCTTTCTTTCTTTATTTTGTGGGGGAAGTCAGTGAGATGCCGAGAAAGGATCCCGGGCCCATTTCTCCCCCCAGCTAGCCGCCTTTGCAGGGTTTTTGAGAAAAGTTAACTGCCGGTTTCCTCATAGCTGCGCGGGGGGGAGTGGAGGGTTGGGGCTAGGAGTTTGGGGACTGCCTGGGAATGGCTTCTGGAAGGGGCTCTATAAAAATGGCATTGTAAGGAACTATGTCCTCAGATCTGGGGGAGAGATCTGGCACTAAGGTCCCGGAGTGGGCCCGAGGTTTCCAGCTAAGACCCCTGGCTTGAGACGGTAATCCTGCTCTCTCCCCACCACCCTGCCCTCAGTGTGGAACCTTTAGGAGCTGTGTGTGGGGTGGGCCTTTCTCCTTCATGGGTGGCCAAGGCCCCTTGGTAGGCGGGAATGGTGCTCTGGGTGGTGTGGTCCCTCCCACCCCCACTTGGGGCAAGTGTGCTTAGCTGATTGCAGTGGGAGAGCCCCTTCCCCAACTTGGTGGTCCTCTTGGCCCCCAGAGATGGTGAGGAATGCCCTTGATGGTGGGCTTTTGGCTGGGTGTAGGCCTGCAGCCCCCAGGATCCTGTGGGTGATAAACTATGCCTGGTTTGCTAGTCCCCTGTGGTGTGGGCCTGTCTCCTGTGCATGCTCTTACCCCTTTCTGCCACTTATGTGGGACACACTGGAGACCTCTGAGTTGGAGGCAGTTTAGACTTTAGTTAGTTCCTTAAGTATCTGGCTGGATGGGTCAGGACTTGCCTGCTCTGCCGGCTGCAGAGGGGGCTTGAAGACCAGGCCCACAGAGACTGGGGTAATTGGTGCTGTCCACCGGGCCATGCAGAATTGGACCTGACCTTTTCCCCATTGGGAAAGTCTGACCTGGGAGGACCCTGTACTCTGCTCTGAGCCTGTCTAATCCCTGCCTCCAACCCCCATTTCCTGGAGGAGACACCTTTATGTCTCACCCCTGGTCTATGTCCTGGATCTCCTGGACCATGTGAGCTCCCTAAGGGGAGAATCTGTGGTTGAAGGCTGGAGTTTAGAGCTTCAGAGCTGCAGAGCGAGGCATGCCTGGGTCAGAGGGTACCAAGCCGGGCATTTTTTAGAGGGAGAAACAGGTCCAGAGAGGGAAAATGACTTGCCCAAAGTCACACATCCAGGTAGAAGGAGAGCTGAGCCCAGGACCCACGTGTCCAGGTTCCCACTGTTGGGCTCTTTCAGCTGTTGTCCATTGAGGGCTCTGGTGCCTAGAAGGTTCGTTTTGGATAGAACTAGACTGGAGTGGGGCAGTGTAACCTCCCACTGACCCCTGCCATCTTAATCCTTCTTTAGAAATCAAACTTTACAGTGACAGTGTGGCACCTAGTTTTTGCCACCTCCTGGAAACTCATTTGGGGTGAGATGTTCAGATGGGGTCTTTGACTCCATACTAGAATTTCGGAAACTGAGACTTGGAGAGGTTGGACAGTGGCAGTGGGGAGCTTTTCAGGCAGACTTTGGTGCTTGTGGGCAGGACTCTTCCCCAACCTTCTAGTTTGGTCTCTGAAATTCTGCTGACCCCAGTGACTATGCAAAACTCCAGAAACTGACCCCCTCCTCCACTGTATGCCAGAGCTGGAAAGGCCCTGGGGAGGTCTTTTGGGCTCAGAGAAGGGAAGCCACTGCTGAAAGTCACTCAGTGGTTCTTATCCCAGCTAGGACCACGGCCTGCCTTGGACACCTGTCTCCTTTCCTCTGTGAGACACTAGGGACAATGAACCACTCTTCCCACTGCCAGCTCCGCCAGCTCCACCTGGGCCCAGGGGAGCTGTGAAGCTGCTGGTGGGCATCATGGCCAGCACTTAGTGGTGACCTGTGTTTGTCCTAGGTGCTGGGGAGTAGGCCCCCTGTAGTCTTGGTGAGTGGAAGCAAGCTGGTCCCAGGTGGAAAGTGGAAGTGGTGTGTGGGTGAGGGACGGACTAGGTCTGAAGCTAGTCTGGCCCCAGCCCTTCCCTGGGTGGGCACTTCTTTGCCCTACCTCTCTCCATTCATCTGTTTTTTCTGCCATTGATTAGTTTATTCATTCATTCGTTATTAGAGTGTTCCTTTACCTTTTCAATGTCCATTCATTAGTTTTTTGGTTAGTCAACTCAGTGGTCCTTCCATCTAACCATCTGTCCATCCATCCAATCCCTGGCTCACCCAGCCCGGTTGGACAGGTGGAGGTACAAGTTTGGTCCTCCAGGGTTCTAAAGCCAACAGGGAAGAAGAGGTGAGGCTGCAGGTGCGTGAGGTACCACCCAGGGCAGCATTTCCGGGGTGCCTACATGAGTCCCCAGGGAAAGCCTCTCGGAGAGCAGGAGCCTGGAAAGCACCAGAGGAGTTCCATAGATGGTCACAGTGGTGGAACTGGGTTCGGGATTAAGAACCATTTGTGTCACATGGCTTTGGGGCTTTGAGCACATTGTTTCCTTCTCTGGCCTTGGTTTCTTCATCTCTAAAATGGTACTGTCTGTGAGTTTCTCCTGGGTTGGTGGCAGTGATAGCAACACAGCATCTGCAGTGTCTCCCATCACTGGCCAGACATGTCCTAGGAGCTCGGTGACAGTGACCATCAAGGCCCTGCCTTTCCTCTGTGAACTAAGGTGATGGTTTCAGAATGAGTCAAATGATCTGGAGAATCTGAAGGCCCTGCTTCTGCCTTGTCATTCCCTTTTGAAACTCTTCTTCGATTTCCTGGACATTTAGAAGGGGGGGAAAAAAAACAACAAACAGTCTTTTCTGGACCAACAAAGCACTTCATGGTCCAGGCCCTGCCTGCGTCTCAGCCTGGGCTCCTCTGCCCTGCTTGCCCGTCTCACCACCCCTAGCCACCCTGCCTTCTTTCTGTACCTCAAATTTACAAAGCTTGTTGGTGGGGCCTTTGCACATCCCCTTGCCAGGATTGCTTTTCCCTTTTGCATGACTGGCACCAACTGAATGTCACCTCCTCAAAGGGGCTTTCCTGACCATTTGCTCTAAAATAGCTTCCCACTGTCACTCTTTGTCACACGAGCTTCTTTTTATTTTCTTTTGCAGCTTTCAGATCTGAAACCTCCCTCCCGCTCTCTTTCTTTCTCTCCCCCTGCCTCCCTGCCTCCCTCTCTCCCTCTTTCCCTCTCTCTTTATTTGCACTTGCTCTCTGTACCACTAGAACACACTCAGGCTCCCTGCAAGCTTCCAGCATGGTGTGGCTGAGGTGGGGCAAGGCTGCGGAGTCCAGGTGTGGCAGCAGCCCCAGCGGCCTGGGAGATGAAGTTACAATGAGGTCTGTCTTTTCCTTCCCCTGGGAGGCTCTGGGTTGTTGTTAGGAAATAATGAGATGATTCAATCGCAGAATCTA